TATCTCTTTTACTAAACATGTCGACGACACTAAAGATGAAAATGATGAAAAAAATGTTTGTGTGACATTACGTTTCATAGATTCATACAGATTTCTCGCCTCAAGATTAGACAAATTATCATCTTTTCTTAGCAAAGATAAGCTGCGGGTACTGAGACGCGAATTTTCCTATTTATCGGAAGAAAATTTTAATCTTTTAACTGGAAAAGGTATCTTTCCGTACGAGTACATTGATTGCAGTGAAAAATTGAATGAATTATCCTTGCTGTCTCGCGAGTCATTCTATAGTTCATTGACAGACAACACGGTATCCGAGAGCGATTACGCGCACGCCGTCAACGTGTGGTAGCGGTTCTTCATCCAAACGCTCAGTGAATATAGCGACATGTATCTAAAAACAGATGTATTGTTATTGGCTGACGTCTTTGAAAATTTCCGCGACAGTTGCGTCGCGAGTTACGGGCTCGACTCCACATACTATTACACCTTGCCAGGCTTCACATGGGATGCCATGTTGAAGCATACAGGTATAAAATTTGAACTGCTCACAGACATTGACATGGTCATATTTGTCGAGCGCGGTATATGCCGTGGTCTGAGTCAGTGCTCAAACAGGTACGCGCGAGCCAACATGTCGTCGTACGATTCATCGAAACCATCATCGTATTTGATGTACTATGACGTCAACAACCTCTATGGCTGGGCAATGTGTCAACCATTGCCATACGTTGACTTTCGATGGGTCGACGACGTGCAAAATTTCGACTTTTCGACCATCGCGCTAGATTCACCGATGGGTTATATTCTCGAGGTGGACTTGGAGTAGCCTCAACATATCCATGATACTCAGACCTACCGTTCTGTCCGACGCGAGAGAAACCACCCGGCAAGCGCGATGACAAGCTCCTCGCGACGTTATGCGATAAGCAGCGTTACGTGATTCATTATCACAACCTGCAGCAGTGTACTCGTCACGGTTTCCGTATCGCAAAGATTCACCGTATATTGCAATTCACGCAATCTCCATGGCTTCGCGATTACATAGAATTAAATACAAAATTTAGAACTTTGGTAAAGAACGATTTTGAGAAAAATTTATATAAACTTATGAATAACGCGGTATTTGACAAAACCATGGAGAATGTGCGCGATCGCGTTGATGTAAAATTATTAACCAAATGGAAAGGTAGACACGGTGCGGAGGCAATGATCGCCAAACCCAACTTTCAGAGCGTAGCGTTTTCTCGGAGAATCTGGTCGCGATAGAACTGCGAGGTGAAGTTTGACAAACCGATATACGTGGATATGTGCATCCTCGATATATCGAAAACGTGTTTGTACGAGTTTCATCAGGAATATATGGCACCGCTGTTTCGCGAAAAATGCAAGATTATGTATACCGACACTGATAGTCTCATATACAATGTAGAATGTGATGACGTATATGAAATTATAAAACGCGATATCGATAGATTTGATACGAGTGATTACTCTATTGACAACGCGTATAGTATTCCGCTCACGAATAAAAAAGTTCCTGGTCTTATGAAAGACGAGAACAACGGTGCCATCATGACTGAATTCGTCGGGCTTAGAGCGAAAATGTACGCTTTACGTGTGCAAGGAAAGAAGGATACGAAAAAGGCAAAGAATGTCAAAAGTAACGTTGTGGCAAGATTTCAAGATTTCACGATTCGAGTAAAAATACTCAATTGACTCACATGCCGATTATCAGTGCTTTCATCGAGACATAATGAGAAAAAGGAGCAGGAAGCTAATAAAGATTTTAATTGTTTTTCTAAAGAAGAAGCAATGTCATCTATTCTTGACTTAACAGTTTTGTCACTTAATGGAATGCTAGCAGCTTCTTCTGAAAACGGCTTAGAATTTTTTACAATTAAATTTGAAATTGCAAACGAGGCTGTAAGAGCTTTTACTGAAGGTGTAGCATTATCGACATGAGAGCTTGAATTACATCCTTCTTGATAAATTAGTTTTAATCCCTCGATTAAATCAAATTTCTCTTTGTCCACATATTTTGAATAATCTTTTAAATGTTTTGTATTATAATGCCTATAAAGAATATATTTTTTAACAACAATAGGTTGATATCCACACAGAAGACAGGTGGTTTTATTATTTATTAATGTAAAAAAAATTTCTTCCCATACCTTGTTAAAAGATTGCACGTATTTATCCATTTTTGAAGTCAATTTAAATCGGTGGCAAGATTACACCAAAATAAACACTAAGGAAATAAAACACAAGGAAATAATACACACACTATTACACTTTGCCCTATTAATAAACACTAGTACATTCTCTTTTCTTAACACGAACGTAGCATTCACAAACGTAACATTATCACATGTACCAATATCACTCAATAGCACTTTTTGTTTGTAAATATTACTAAATACATATAATACTTGTAAAGTAAAAAATACATAGCACAATAATCTCGTACGAAACCACTACTAACGTACCTAAAACTTCTACTGAGCACGCATGTTAGAAAACCGTTAAAAAACAGCGGAGGATAAAACAAATGCATATCGACGCGCGGTAGGAATAGGCGTCTATATAACAAAACCGCGAGGTTTATGCCCATTTCCAAGTAGACTAACTTTAATTGAACTTACTCTTCATCTTTTTATAATTTTTAGAACTATAAAAAGACGAAGAATAAGTTCAACAGAGATTAAAGTTAATCTACAATCTACATTGTGGAAATGAGCATTAAAAATTCATATTATAACGATAGATTACAAAAAATACTATTTGCGTGATAATGATAAAGCTATATTTAATAATACGCTATGTATGATAGTACTAAACTAAAGATAGTAATGGTTATTGTAATAAAGTAAACTGTAATAATGTAGTTATAAAACTGTGTGTCATCTTTGCTATTATAGCATTATAATTCTGCTACTGATTTTATTTGAAAAATGGATAATAATTAATAAGCAAAGATATATGAGTAACCTTTCAATAAGATTTACCTTTACTGTAACTATTTATAATAAAATTATTTATTTATTATATTTCTATCTCTCTTCGAAAATCACAAAAACAAAAAGCTATTCTTTTTGAATGATGCATCGTTATCCTCGATAATGCGAACTACTACTTCTAAACTCTCTGTGGATGTATCGTCACTAGTACAATCGTGCAAACGACCCAGAAGGTCAAATATTTAAAATTTCAAGAAAAATAATTATTCCCGTTTCATCCTCGTTCGTTTTTATAAATATTTAATATTAAAGAATATTGCTTTCTCTCTCCTCGAGCTATAGATTTAATCAGCTTTTTCGTTATTTTCTTAGTGGAATAGGTCTACTGGGGAAACCACTTAAAAAAAAACGCGTCAACAATAGTACCTCAGAGGTGATGTGGAAAACTATTGTTCAATATTATAATTATCATACTGTAATAATTGTAAATTATATTATTATAGAATATATATACATAATATGCTAATAATAAAATAATTTGTTCAAATAAAATCACGTAAAAAGAAAAATATTTTAATGATATTTGTCGGAAGGTATACTCCCAGCATGCTGGAAAATATCGCGACGCTCCTGAGGCACAGCGTCACGTGAGCGGCCGACGGCTCGGCCGCCGAGGCTCGAGTGGTAGTGGGGAGACAGTAGGCGTCGCCTCCAAAATCGGCCCGAAATGTGCAACTAATTCCGAGCACTGTTTTACGACGACATCAGACATTTTTAACCTCAAAATGGAAGAAAACATTAGTATAGACAAAGTTATTATTAATATTGTTCGAGACAATATACGGGGTGTCCATTAAGTCGCGGACCGGTCTAATATCTTTTGAAAAAATAAAAATTTCGAAACTCGCCGAAACACGTCAAACGAGTTTTCAAAAAATCTATCTTTTGCGAGGGGTTGCAACCCCCCAACCCCAAGGGGGTGCGGGGGGCGCGAGGGGGGAATAAATTCTTAAATGGGAAGGGGGGTCGAGTGGGGGCTCGTTTGAAAGGTCTTTTCGAGACGAATTCAAAACACTATGCATAGAGGGCGCTGCGATCATTTTTCGCAAAAATATTTGAATTTTAAGATTTTTAATACAGCATTTGCGTTACCCAATGTACACCACGTGGAGGTTGCTCGGTTGGATTTAATACATCGTGCAGCCCTGAAAAGGACTGATTTTATGTAAAACGATCATTTATTCAACGATCATTATAATTGATCAATTTATTATGGCTTAAGACTTATTAAAAAGTAAACCTAATAATCTAAATTGTAGTTATTTAATCTCATTTCAAAAAAATTAGGACATTTTGATCTAAAAAATAATTTTTTTCGAAATAAACTTTTTTTTCAACTTGAGTTAATTCAATGTTGACTTAACTTACGTTAAGTTAATTTTTATTCCTTCAACTTTTACCTTAACATTATTAATTTTGTAAAGCCATTAACTTTAACTTTATTCAGTTAAAAAAAAACTATAATCAAGCACCCCGAAGAGAATAAATGATCGTTTTACATAAAATCAGTCCTTTTCAGGGCTGCACGATGTATTAAATCCAACCGAGCAACCTCCACGTGGTGTACATTGGGTAACGCAAATGCCGTATTAAAAATCTTAAAATTCAAATATTTTTGCGAAAAATGATCGCAGCGCCCTCTATGCATAGTGTTTTGAATTCGTCTCGAAAAGACCTTTCAAACGAGCCCCCACTCGACCCCCCTTCCCATTTAAGAATTTATTCCCTCGCGCCCCCCGCACCCCCTTGGGGTTGGGGGGTTGCAACCCCCCGCAAAAGATAGATTTTTTGAAAACTCGTTTGACGTGTTTCGGCGATTTTCGAAATGTTTATTTTTTCAAAAGATATTAGACCGGTCCGCGACTTAATGGACACCCTGTATGTCTATACGATAAAACGGACGTTAATTACAAAAATAGTAACAAAAGGAAGGAGATGTGGAAAATGATTGCCTTCCAATTAAAAGAGATTTATAATGTAGACATGTCAGGTAAATATTTGTTATAAACAATATATGTTACAAATATAATATAGTATATACACAGTGAATACTAATAGCAATATAATTATATTTCAAATTATACATAATTACGTATGAGTAATTTTTTTACATTTTTCCAAACTTGATTTTTTCTAAAACAAACAATGCGGAAATTATCCCTTTGGTTATTATCATAACATTAATATTATGCTACCATTAGTGTTTATTGGATATGGTATATGTAAATATACTTGTTCTATTAAATATATTTCAGTAACAATATCACGTTTCTTTTTGTATAAGCTGAAAATGTTGAGAAACGATGGTCATCACTTCGAGACATGTTTAGTCGTGAAGAAAGGAGAAAAAAACTGCCACCATCAGGATCAGGCAGTAGCGAAAATAAAGAGTGGCACCTGTACCGATCACTACTTTTCCTATCTTCATATATTGCTCATAGAAAGTAAGAAATAGACTTAATAGACAATAAATTCTTTTTTGTATAATATTTGTGTTAAAAGCTATTTTATTTTATTCTTAGAACACAATCATCGCTTGTAAAAAAAACCGAGAGAAAATTTGAGCTCCCAACCAGTGCACTTTCAGCAAGCCAGTTCCCAGCAGGTTCATTCATTGGAAAAATATGATGATCAAGCTATAGATGAGACACCGCAGGAAATATGGGAATATGTACCAGTGGTAGATGATATTTCTGATAAATCACAGATCATCGGTAAAATAAATGTTTTAATTTGTTGTTGCTCTTGAAAAACATAAAACATTAAATGTAAAAAATTGTCAGACAATGTTGTTGAATCTTGTCCTGAATCTATAAGATCATTATCAACTGGCAATAGATCTAGCTCATTTTCGTCTTGCACATCAACACCACTGATTTCACATATAAAACCAAAATCGAAACAAATCGTACCTCCAATGGACAATTTTGCACAACGAAAAAAGAAAAAAAGTGCTCTTTTAGATGATACACTTGCAGAGACAGGTGTTGCAATATCTGATACAATGAATACTTTTTCAACACTGATTGCCAATACAAATAAAGAAAAGGATGGATATATGCTTGCAATAGAAAAAGGGTTGAGACATATCCCTGGGAAAAGTAGAACCCAATGCATCATCGAGGTGCTTCAGATTATTAACAAATATGAAGTTGTAGAGTAAAAAGTAGGGTCTATGATGAGATAATTACTCGTAAAATCAGAAATTTGCAAGAAATTGACTAAACAATTATTCTTTTCATATTTCAAGCGTAATTGGTTAATTTCTTGCGATTTTGTGACTACGACTAAGTTTCCATCGAAGGTTCGAATCGGGTTAGAGTACAAGAACTGACCAGTTACAGTCGAATGACAGGGGAATGCTCGACTGTGGTTGGTCAGTTCTTGTACTCTGACCCGATTTGAACCTTCGATGAAAATTTAGTCTATGACTAACTACGGTTTCATTACAGATTATCAATTTTAGATCATTAATTTAGATCAATGTTAGAAATGCAAAAATTAGAGAGGTTCCAAAAAGTTGATATCAAAATGTATAAAATTATAGAAACTTTTTTTTACCAAAAGTACAAACTTAAATGATCAAATAGTGAAAAATATAGGAAGTAAGTTTGTTTTAACTAAGAAATTCACAATTTAAATTGTTTAAAATGTAAACAAAGTTTATTTTACCAAAGAGTACAAAATTAGAGAATAAAATTGTTTAAAATGTAAAGAAAGTTTATTTTACCAAAGAGTACAAGATTAGAGTTAAATTGTTTAAAATGTAAAGAAAGTTTATTTCACCAAAGAGTACAAGATTAGAGAGTTAAGGGGATGCTGGAGCTACGGCCGAACTTGATCTAGGTCGGTACAACAGATTTGTGACCGTTCACTTACGCCCTCTGCCTGCCGCGCGCCGCCGCTGGCCCCGAGCCGGCCTGGCCGCGCACCGCCGCTGGCCGCGTGCTGTTTACATCTATCATATGCAATCATATGATAGCTCCTACTTATTCCGTATTCAGTACGTGTTTTTATTGATAAAAACGCGTTTTTATCTCTGAAATTCTATAGTATGCATGAAATATACTACAGCATTTTAGAGCGCTAACATCATTGTAAGCGCGTGTTGAATACGGGCCTCCGAGTGAGTTGGAGTATGCAACGCGAGCAAATGTCGAGCAGAGAAAACCTCTGCTTTGACTATTATGATCGTGTTGTCACACATATATACCATATACTATATACTGTCAGTAATAAAAATGTGTAATATAATGTGACACACACATTTTTTAAATAAATACTGACAGATATATTGGTGCACACGAATGTAGAACGTTTCCTTTCATCTAATGCCATTTTAGGTTAGGATATCTGTCAAAACATAGGTCTGTTTTCTGTGGCAGAACTAGTGCTTTGGAACTTGTGAGATGATATATGTTTGACATTTGTTAAAAGCGAAAGAGTTCCAGTGCAGGAACAGAAAACAGACTAAATATGTCAATATATATATGAATACATTTCACGTACATATGTAGCTGCTCTATCTGTTTTTGCTATTTCTAATAACTTATATGAAATATTCAGATATCACTACTGAAAATCTCTAGTTTATGTACTATACATTTTCAGTACCGACAGTATATTTGAGAAAACAGCCTAATATGATATACTATATTTGTATATATCAGGAGACGCGGTAGCGTCTCCGGCCATGTTTAATATTATACATATGTATAATATATTCTCACAGATTGCCAAACTTGCCAAGAGCATGTATCGCAAATGTGTATTCACATATTATATTAGCAGATCTCTGATAACAGCAGAGCATAGTCTGCTATTTCTACTAATACTAATAGAAATATATCAGAAAATAAACAGGCCTTGCATCATGTTTCTGCTATTATGATGGCAAGATATGCTCCATTTTTTCTGCATTTCTGTTATATTTATTATGTTTGACAAGTCACATGATGACAAAATCAAGCAGTAGACACAGTATACAGAAATCTGCTCTACAATTGTGACTAAATTTGCTGATTTATCATTGACATACTGCTAGTATTTTGCTATCTGGGAAGGAGAAGCTACTCGTGCTGAAACATTCATAAATATTATGTCTATACACAATATTAAAATTTTATGTGTGTATAATGTGTGTATGTATGCATACAATTTAATTCTAACAATGCATATAAAAAGATATATTAGTGAATACAATTTTGTGTGTTGTAAAATGTGTGCATATGTACATGCACAATAATATACATTCCAATATTACTTACAGATATGTATTGATGATACATGCAATGCTAAAAGTATATTTTAGGTATATTGTGTATATATACGTACATACACATATTATAATGCACATAAAATGTAATTGAGTTTGTGTTCCTTCTCTACATTAAATGTTAGAATGAAATTTTATGTACACATATACCTATTTTTATATACATACACAATATAATATATATAATTGTTGAGGATTTGTTTGTCGCTTCCGCAATCAAGCGCCCCGTCACTTATCGACCGACAGTTCGATCGCTGGGATCGTGGCGCTTTCGGCTCCACCACTTGTTCGCTCTCTCACGAGCGCGCTCACTATCATCGGCCGCTTCTTTCTGGGTATGCGCACATTTATTAACTCTCATGTAACCGTTACGGTCCCCGTTTACAACAAGAAGGGACGCTACATCAATCAAGGTGTCGAATATTACGCACAGTTATTTTTTTGTATTTCATGGACAATAAAGAGAGATTGTGACACATAAGCAAGTCAACGTTTCATTACCGGAAAGCGAGTCAATCACACATCATTTACATTGGTCCTTCGAGCCGGATTGTCGCAAGGTTAAAAGCGCGGCAATGTAACATAACCACAAGGATCGTTTTTTGTGTAGCATAGCATCGAGGTAAGTCTCCAACCTTCCTCTCATCATCCTATTTCATTGTCAATACCGCATCACTTCTTCATGATGTCGGCACAAATGTTAAGGGCGCTCAAAGCCAAACGTACAACAATAAAAGCACAGTGCACGCGTACGCGAAACGCGATAGACAGCATAGATCCACAAACAGTGGACATAGCATATTTAAAGCAGCGAAAGGAGAAATTCGACATCTATTGGAATTAGTTCAACGAGTTACAGTTGGAAATTGCCGAGTTATTAGAGCTTTCGAGTGAGTTAGAAAATGTCGGAGATCTTAAAATCGAACAAGAAACCGAATGTGCGGCTTTCGAAGAAAATTATTTTAGTACTGCCGGTAAGATCGACGCTTTGATAGCTTCCTCGTCCGTGTCGGCGAGTGCAAATAGTATGCAAAATAGCACGTCAGACGCCCATGTGACAGAGCAGTCGCAAATCGTTCAAGGTGATGTTCGCCAAGTTCATTTACCGAAAATCGCGATACCGAAATTTAGCGGTAATTATGAGGATTGGTATCCCTTCTACAACACGTTCGAATCTATGATTCATTTGAATACGAAGTTAACGGATATTCAGCGTTTCCATTACTTGATCTCTTCTCTCGAAGGTGACGCCGCCCACGTTATTAAGTCAATACAAATCACTTCTGATAATTATCGTGAGGCCTTAGACCTATTAAAGCAACGTTTTGATGATAAATCTGTCATTTCGCAAGAGCATATCAAGTCATTATTTAATTTGCTTGCGGTGTCAAAAAGGGATCATGTAGCATTGAGAAAGTTAGTGGATGACGTGTTGCGCCATTTGCGTTCCCTGAAAGGCTTAGGCAGGCCAGCTGAGCACTGGGACGATCTCATTATCCATTTAATCATTACAAAACTAGATTCGAGTATTATTAGTGATTGGAAGGATCATATTCAAACAGGCGAAATGCCTACGTTAAAGCAATTCACTGATTTTCTTTCGCACAAATGTAAAACGATGTCAATTATATCAAACAACGCAGTCACTGACGCAGCCGTTTCAAATCCGCGTAAAACCGGTAAAACATCCAATGTACACGTATCTGCTATCAATATTTGCTGCGCTTATTGCAAAGAAAAACATTATATTTTTCAATGTCCAACCTTTTTAAAATTATCACCAGAAGATAGAATTAAACAAGCCAGAATAAAAAGGTTATGTCTCAACTGCGTACGCTCCACCTCTCATCAAGCCAAAGAATGTAGATCGTCTACGTGTCAAACATGCTGCAAAAAGCATAACACGCTACTTCACATACAGGATAAGTCACAGTCGAAGGAAGAATCTACGGATCAGCTCAATCAAGCAAGTAATGCTGGCGTCGTCGTCTTAGCGCATCATGTTGTTCCAGATAAGTATCAGCAAGTTATATTATCCACAGCAATTGTCAAGGTTTGTGATCGAAGTGGCAACATGCATCCATGTCGAGTACTATTAGACTCAGGATCTCAATCCAATTTTATTACTGATAATCTCGCCAAGGCGTTGAATCTCATTAAGAAACGAGCCCATATGTCCGTTACAGGAATAAACAAATCTCAGACTCACTCCGAGCACGTAGTCAATGTACGAATCAAATCAATGCATACTTCCTTTTCACAGAACATCGAATGTCATGTATTGAACAGTATTACGGGCAACCTGCCTCCAGCACGTATTAATGTCAACGACTTCAAGATACCGAACAATATACGGTTAACTGACCCTCAATTTCATACACCAGGCGCAATAGACATACTCATTGGCGCTGAAATTTTCTGGCAGTTATTATGTGTGGGTCAAATATACGTGGATACGAGTCTGCCGATATTACAGAAAACCCAGCTGGGTTGGATCATCGGCGGTAAGACATACAATGATGGTCCGATAAGGTCCGAAATATGCACGTTGTCAATCAATCAGCAAATCAATCAAGCAGTAAACAAGTTTTGGGAAATGGAGCTTATCACTAATGAAGCAACGCTCAATCCTGACGAGAAGAATTGTATGGAACTTTTCACAGAAACTACCACAAGAACCGCAGATGGACGTTTTGTCGTACAAATGCCTGTCAACGAGGCTAAATTGCAGCAATTAGGTGAATCTCGTACCACGGCGCTAAGTAGATTTCTTAGCTTGGAACGTAAATTACAAAAACAGCCAATAATCAAGGATCAGTATGTTCAATTCATGAACGATTATCATGCCTCAGGGCACATGAAACGCATCAGCAACGAGCAAGAATTGGCGCTCAATCCGCGCTATTACATACCTCATCACGCTGTATTGAAAAGTGATAGTTTGACAACGAAGCTTTGGGTAATATTTGATGCGTCGTGTAAGAGCAGCAGCGGAGTGTCTCTTAATGAGTGTCTATCGGTGGGACCTACTCTACAAAAGGATTTGTTCTCAATTCTGCTACGTTTTCGTACCTTTCAATATGTCATTACAGCTGATATTACTCAAATGTACCGCCAAGTGCTAATAGACGAGTCGCAAACATCACTTCAGACAATTCTCTGGCGAACTGATTCAAGTGAAGAGATAGCAGCATTCGAATTGAAAACCGTGACCTACGGCATAGCATGTGCCTCCTTTCTAGCAGTAAGAACTATGCAGGAATTAGCCAACATATACGCATCGTCTTTTCTAGTGGGTTCCAGCACAATTATCAACGATTTCTATGTCGATGACCTGTTATTAGGAGTTGATACTGAACAGAAAATCAAAACAATACGAGACGAAACCATCAAGGTACTGAGCTTTGAAGGCTTTCATCTTAAGAAGTGGTCGTCCAATTGCTCTAAGCTACTACAGGACGTACCTTGTGCCGATGTTTGCGAACCCGTTCATTTCATCAATCTTGAGGAGGAAGTGCCTACGTTGGGTATGCATTGGAACACGAAAAATGACGAATTTCAGTATCACATCAATCTCTCTAGCCACTCAAGAGTTACGAAACGCATCATGTTATCTACATTATCAAGGATATTCGACCCTTTGGGTCTTTTGGGGCCTATAACACTCATAGCCAAGATGCTTATACAACAAGTCTGGCGGCTTAATTTGGAATGGGATGAAGTCGTACCTATGAGTTTACACACCTCTTGGGTGAAATTCGAATCTCAATTAAGTATGATTACGAACTTCAAGGTTCCACGTTACGTAGCATGCAAGGACGCAATCAACATTCAGATCCATGGTTTCTCAGACGCGAGTGAGAAGGCCTATGGAGCCTGCGTTTATCTTAGGGTCACTGATACAAAGAATCAAACTTTTACGCGACTACTGTGCTCAAGATCTCGCGTCGCTCCTTTAAAGGCAATTACTCTACCGCGATTGGAGCTGTGCGGAGCACTACTGCTGGCACAATTAGTGGACAAGGTGTTGAGTGCCATACGTTTCAAACCGAAGGCGGTATACTATTGGACGGACTCCACGATAGTGATACACTGGATAAAGGCTACGGGAAAGAATTGGAATGTTTTCGTTGCTAACAGGGTTAGTGAAATCCATCGATTATCACAAGCAGACAGCTGGTTTCATGTTGCTACAGAGTGCAACCCAGCTGATTACATATCCAGAGGTGCCTTTCCTTCTACCTTAATCAATTCTACCCTCTGGTGGTTTGGCCCACCATGGTTAGGGGAGGAGGCTCACAATTGGCGCACAGATATTCCGCCTGTGTCACTCAGCGATTTGCCAGAACAGAGGCATATTATCAAGACTATGATCAGTGCCAAGGATGAACCAGACTTATTCGAAAGGTTCTCATCCTTGAATAAGTTAATTAGAGTCAATGCTCTTTGTGTAAGGTTTGTAAATAATGGAAAAGGTCAAGCAACCAAAAGTGTAGGGCGCATAACCACTCAAGAACTATTGAATTCTAATTTGAGTCTCGTGAAAATGGTACAGCGGACCGCATTTCAACAGGATCTACACGCACTAAGGACACAAGGAAGCGTATCGCGAAGGAGTAAGTTGTTATGTTTATCTCCATTCATCGATGAGCATGGTATTATCAGAGTTGGCGGACGCTTACACAAGGCAGCAATCTCACCTGATGCGAAGCACCCGATTTTACTGCCAGCAAATCATTCATTTACGTGTCTAATCATACGCTATGAGCATCAAAGACAACTACATGCGCGCAAGCTACTTTAGCTGCCATCCGCAACGCATATTGGCCTTTATCAGCAAGAAGCAGCGTCAAGAAATGTGTCAGAAACTGCATAACATGTCGTAAGGCAGACCCGCGTGCATCCGAGGCAATCATGAGTAATTTACCTACATTTAGAGTCACGCCATCCAAACCGTTCGAATCCAGCGGTGTGGATTATTGTGGTCCGTTCTACATTAGGTCTGGTCAACTTCGCAAAAATAGTAAAAGCGTATGTTGCTGTTTTCATATGTCTATGCACAAAGGCCGTCCACATAGAATTAGTGAACAATCTTTCCACTGAGGTGTTTCTGAACGCTCTTAAACGTTTTATTGCCCGTCGAGGCAAGGTATGTCATATATACTCCGACAATGGTACAAATTTTCAAGGAGCATCAAACACCTTGAAAGAACTTTACCACATGCTTCACAGTAAGGATCATCAAAATAAGTTAGATAACTTACTCAACGAGGACCGCATTAGTTGGCACTTCATACCCCCTCATGCTCCACATTTTGGTGGCATCTGGGAAGCTGCTGTCAAATCCACAAAATTTCATTTAAAGCGCGTCATCGATGACGCAGCATTAACATTCGAAGAAATGTGCACTGTGCTTGCTCAAATCGAGGCAGTATTGAACTCGCGTCCAATCACACCCTTATCGAGCGATCCTAATGACCTATCCTATTTAACCCCTGGACATTTCCTGGTTGGAGGCGCGCTTACAGCTGTTCCGCAGCAAGATGTCACACATCTACCTGACAATAGGCTTTCACGTTGGCAACGAGTTAGCCAAATATTTCAACATTTTTGGAGACGATGGAGTCGTGAGTACTTGCAGCAATTGCAGCAACGCACTAAATGGCGACAATCAAAGGGGTTGCACCCTGTTATTGGCGATATGGTTATGATGCAAGAGAATGATTCATTGCTTCTCCGATGGACAATCGGACGCATAATAGACGTCTACCCTGGCGCAGATGGAATTCCCAGAGTGGTTTCAATTCTCACCGCCAAAGGAACGTTTAAGAGACCAATAACCAAAATTTGCGTACTACCACTTCGCAAGGAAAATTAAGCAGTTAATTGCTCTGCTATGCGCGGCATATCTGCGCTGTATCCTTTTACTATGTCATAATAACAAATGTTCATCTTTTCTTCTTGTAGTATTAAGTTTGTTTCAGATTTCTTCTGAGTTGCATTGCGGAGGTTTACTCTATTCATTTTTTTTATTCAATCGCCGCCCTCCAGGATGACAAATTCATGTTACGTTTTTTTAAAGGGCTTAATCCTTTCAAGGGGGGCGACATGTTGAGGATTTGTTTGTCGCTTCCGCAATCAAGCGCCCCGTCACTTATCGACCGACAGTTCGATCGCTGGGATCGTGGCGCTTTCGGCCCCACCACTTGTTCGCTCTTTCACGAGCGCGCTCACTATCATCGGCCGCTTCTTTCTGGGCATGCGCACATTTATTAACTCTTATATAACCGTTACGGTCCCCGTTTACAACAAGAAGGGACGCTACATCAAGCAAGGTGTCGAATATTACGCACAGTTATCTTTTTGTATTTCATGGGCAATAAAGAGAGATTGTGACATATAAGCAAGTCAACGTTTCATTACCGGAAAGCGAGTCAATCACACATCATTTACAATAATACACACAAAATTTAAACTTGCTTATAATTAAGAAATATGTGTATTAATCTGTTAGCATAAGTAACTTCAAATCTGATAATCAAAACGCTTCTGGCAGTAAATTATAAATAATCAGTCCAGGATTAACGTATCTGACATTTATTTGTAAATAGCCAAAGTACAATTGTCAGTTATACCATTTTGTTACAACAAGCCAGCCCACGATTAACGCCTCTGACAGTTGTCTATAACTAGCCAAAGTACAATTGTCAGTTATACTATTTTGTTATAACAAGCCAGTTCACGGTTAACGCCTCTGGCAGTAAATTTAAAATAGTCAGCCCACGATAAACGACTCTGACATTTGTCTATAACTAGCCAAAGTACAATTGTCAGTTATACCATTTTGTTATAACAAGCCAGCCCACGGTTAACGCCTCTGGCAGTAAATTAAAAATAGTCAGCCCACGATGAACGCCTCTGACATTTGGTCATACAGTTGATCACAGCTGTGTAAACTAACCTCAATCAGTGTAACTCAATCCATAAAAATATTTTCTATTTTGATTTATACTGTTATTGACACAGAAAACTTTATTAAAATGAAACTCTGAATGCGCATCCGCGGTGCAAGAGCGGCCTCGACGCGACGTCGACGATTCATAGCATCGCAGATCGCAACTCGACACAGCATGTAACATGCTCGGCGCGCCCATGGTGAGCGATCTCGACGCTGCGTTGCCACGTCGGCGCTCCGAGCATGTGGCATGCTGTGTCGACCTGCAATGCTATGAATCGAGTTGAGACTGGAGACGGCTGACGCGGCGCGGACCAGCATTCAGAGCTTCATTCTAATAAAGTTTTTGCTGTCAACAACAGTACGGATTAAAATTTAAAAAATGCTTATTAAAGATTAAGATCGGTCGAACATTTTCGTTTTTTATTCGTGCTGATTGGATAATTAGTTCGTGAGAACAAAAATCGTAAATCTAGTCATTTTTCAAGCTCTAACATTTTCTATCTCGAAAATTATTGATTTTATCCAAAAAGTCTAAGGAACAAAAAATGTTCACTTTGACCCAATTTAGAGTACAGAATTTTTTTGGAATTTTTGTTCAAAGTTTTGATTTTTTAAACAAAAAATTGTTTGTAACTTTTTAATGATCACTTCAACAAAGAAAGTGTATGTACATGCTTTTTGGTAGAATATAATATAAGGAATCGAGTCTAACCATTTTCAGTCGCCAAAATGTTGAATCTAGATTTAAAAAAATTAAAATTTTGAATAAAAATTTCGAAAAAATTTTGTATGCTAAATTGGGTCAAACTGAACATTTTTTGTCTCTTAGACATTTATGATAAAATCAATAGTTTTCGAGATGAAAATATGTCAGAGCTTGAAAAATGACTAGATTTACGATTTTTGTTCTCACGAACTAATTATCCAATCAGCACGAATAAAAAACGAAAATGTGCGGCCAATTAAACTTTAATGAGCATTTTTTTTATTTTGATCCGTACTGGGAGGGAATATGTTACACGACGTTAATGCAAGACAAACATGATTTATAAATTATTTATCAATGTAACTTTTTACTTTCCTTTTTTTATTACAGTAAGCGTTTATTCAACGTGTAAGTTATTGCCTTTTTTCTAAATTACAATATGTAGTTCAATAATGTGTAAAATAACAGTCCAAATTTCGTATATGCGCTTGTATATGGAAAAAAGGTACAAGGTTCTAAAAATGGTTACTGTTTTATCAAACAGGACATGTTTTCTCCATTTGTGCAATATGCCATTCATACTATTTTCATGAGTTGTTAATTCTAAATTACAATTTGTTACTATAACTTATAAAAACTATAATTTGTTACTATACTCATAAAAACATTTCACTTTCACGCGCGTCAATATGCTCCTTTTATAAATAATTCTACACGATTTTAAATAAGTTTTTTTGGAGTTACAGTAAAAGGTAAAAGTTCTGTAGATTTGCCCATATATTTATCTGTCATATAGAAAGTTCAGCATTTCTTCCCTCGACTTCCCTGTCAACTTCTGGAAAAAATGATAAGGAACAAAAAAGATACTTAGAATGCGTCAAGAAATATTTCAGAATTCTTTCAGAATTTTTCGTAAATTCTAGAAAATTTTCAAAAAATTGAAATAAAAAAATTTTCAAAAATGTCCGAAAAATCAGAAAAAATTCTAGTGTATTCCTCGATGAATTCTGATAACTTTTCATACTTCTCATTTTTTCGAAAAAGTTCATAGTTTTCGAGTTAGAGTGCCCTTAAAATTGTCAAAAAAAATTTGTTTCGAACGCCATTTTGAGGACCGCCATGTTAAATTTTTTTTTTCGGACCATACATATTTTAAAATTTAGGACTCGAAAACGCTTTTCTATGTGGTAAAGGATGTGTATCATATAGAAATTTTAGATCTAAAATTTTATTTAGTCAAAAAAATGACATTTTTTGCAATAAATTGTATACAACTTTTTAAGCATTGGTGTTAGGCAAATTCTGAGGTCATATTCTGAAAGAACATGAAATTTTACGTCGAGTATCATGGGTCCGTTTTTTTTTTTTGGCATAAATAATATGAAAAGAAACTGGATGAAAATGAGTTCAGAATTGAAGACATTCAGGACTTAATGGGTTAAAAACAACATTGTTAATTTACACACAACTATATTCACATTAAGCAATTCAACTTATCGTTATTATATTATAAAGTGTTCCAGGAAGTACAATGAATTGTAATTAATCAAATGGTTACTTTGATAAGGATCCGAACTAGAATCAAAACGTATGTAAATTGCTATAATAAACACACTTATTACTTCACACCAACACCAAGTGAAATGACTCGATTAGGCACAATACCATCTATCAAAGTTGCACTTAGAAAAGCAAAAAATGGAATGAGAAGGCTCGAAAAGGCATGGCAAAGCATTTATGTTTCCATGCACAAATATTGTCAATACTAAAAATCTATGTAACTTACTTTAGATTTTTTATATTGCTACTTGTCAGTGTAAATCAGAACATGATCAAAGAAACACGTAATGTTGCTGTACCAGCACTAACTAACTCGTACACTGAACTGACTAGACGTTACGTACATTTTTTTAGTATTATATAATATATGTATGCACAGCGACACAAAGGCCTAGCTATGTCTTCTCATTCCTTTGTTTTCTCCAATACGTGTGTAACTTCGGATAGCCAGGCATTTCTGTCCCCATCGTTGGAGTATAGGTCATGGAATCAACGAATGCACTACAAACTACATAAACGTATAAAATAACTTGTAGCGTTTTCGATCGTATCGTGGAATTGGATTGACTTGAAATCGACCCGAAAATACTATGATCTCGTGAAACGCGGTAAGCGCGCACACTGATGTCCAGTGTACAGAGACACGAAAACCATAACCTCGCAATCGCGCCAGCTGTCAGCTGACGACGACGGACGGCCGTGTCTCCCCTCCCCCTTCATCGACATTGCCATTATTGCCTGACATTGCCATTATTGCGATTATTGATCACAGCACACTCTGGATAAATATTCGGCAACTATTTGAGTGCTCTAAACTGCTGTACATCGCCGATATTTCACGTTCTATATACACAATTTCGTTCATTTCCAATTTCTCTTTATATAAGCATCTAAACACAATTTTCAAGATACGGTTGTATTCGTTCATTCATTCTACACATGTGCCTGCCCTTATTTCGAGCATATAACCTGTGTAACTTTTTCGTCAAGTAAATGTTGTAATGAGCTGACTGTATGCTGAGATAACAATGGGTATAGATTTCTGTAATTTTTTGCTTTTTCCAGCTTTGAACAAAAAAGATACCAGGCACACGTACATTAGTTCGGAAATTTTAATCGTGGAGAAGGAATTTTTATTCTGTGAAAATATTGCGAAGAAATTGGAAAGGGACGAAAATGCTAGCTTTATCGATAAAAAAGGCGGGTCCAGCATCCCTTAAATAGTTAAGAATGTAGAATAAGTCTTTTTTATCAAAAGATACGAAATTAATAACTTTTCTCAAGGAATTAGATTTTTTTAAAATAAAGGAATACAAAATTTATCTTAAATTTTTAAGAATGAATAATTTTTTTTACCTAAAATTAAATAGTGGGTAACAAAATTACTCAACAATTTCGTACTTAACGATTTTACTAAATAGTTTTTTATATATACAACTATTAAAAATTATTTTATAAAGAAATATCATATGTACATCTTTTATATATTTTTATAAATAATTTTATAAAAATATATAAAAAATAAAGGATTAAAAGTGTAAGTAACATAAATTTGTTTATATCATTTCCCACTGCCATGGAATACTGCCTTCATCAGAGACAAAGTATTGAGCTAAACTATCACGTTGCTTCATTGCTGCAATCGAACCAATAT